GTCACCACCCTCCCCATCCCGGTAGGCCGTGGCCGGCGTCTCTCGCCTGCAGCCGCCGTAGAGCCGCTCCGAGCAGCGGGCGGGGAGGCCGCAGCCCTGCTGGGTCCTGTCCAAGGGCCTGTGCTCATCCCCCTGCCAGCGCCGCCCGGGCCCGCGGGGGTTTGCGGCCGTTCCTTCCCGGCAGCAGCTTCTTCCCCATGTTTTTGTTCTCTTGGGGTTTTGATGAGCCCGGTTGTGTGAAATACAGGGGAAGGGAGGGCACATCCCGTGTGACCGGGGGTTTCCAGTGTTGGGAGGCCCCCGGTGCGGGGGGAGGCTGTGTGCAGTGTCCCTGTGTGTGGGGGTGTCTCATAAGGCTGTAGCTTATTTTGCTAAATGTTTCCCGAAGTTAGGTGGCTTTTAAGAAATCACATAAAGTCCCCGGGCACAGCGGGTCTGGTGGAGGAGGGCAGAGTCATCTCCCGCTTTGTGTAGTGGGATGGGAGGAGCTGCGGGAGGTGGGGATGGGACGGGATGGGGTGTACGGGGAAAGGAACGCCTCTGTCCTGGTAAAACAAAATCTTGCTGCCTCTTGGTGCTGAGAGAAGGCGCACTGTTTGGAGCCCGAAGGAAGTGTGCTTCCAGCATCCACAGTGCAAAGTGTGCCATGAAAACAAACCTGACAGGTAACTAGAGCTGCTGGTGTTGCCTTTGTCCTCTTTCTCCGTAAGCATCCTGAATCCAGACCCTGCAAGTGTCTGCGTCGAGGGTGATGGGCTCCAGTGAAGCTGTGATGTGTTCCAGCTTCCCCTCCTGTGATACCTGTCCCAGCTGGCATCACTCTTCCTACTGTCGCTTTTGAATAAGGAACTTTCTTGTCAGCCTTCAGTTTCCTGCCCTTTACACCATCTCTGATGTTGTTCTTGCAGGGGTGTGAATACTTTTTCTCCGGAGGGGAGGCTGTTCCAAGTGGAGTATGCTATCGAGGCCATCAAGGTATTGTCAGCTTCATCTGGCTGCCAAACTGTGACCACTCAGGGCTCTTTCAACCCCAAAGCCTGGGTTTAGTCAGAAATAAAACCAGGCAGGTTCTGTTCCCTGGGGCTCTGCAGCGAGGCAGGCTTTGGTGGGCTCCCAGGGCAGTACACAGTGCTGGGTGGGAGCTGCTGCCTTTCCCTGTAGGCGCTGCTCCTGCACATGAGTGCTCTGGCAGCTCTTTGCCAAACTTTCACCTACGGTTTGTAGTAGCAGAGTTGTGTATCAGTATTTGATTCCTTCTGTCCAGCCAAACCTCCTGCACCTCTGCCCTTTTATGGCTCATGAAGAATCCAAAGCCGTCGATTTTGCCCAAATGCAGGGGAATTTTCCCCTCCCTGTCTCCTACCAACCAATTTGCCCCTGACCCAAACACAATCTGAAGATGCTAATCCCCAAATCAAGCTTACTAAAGCTAGTGTTAAAGTGAGAGGTCCTGAATGCCTGTTCACCATGACACTGCCTACTGGAGCTGGCACTGCCCTTCATGTCTGTAAATGCTTCTCTAAGACCTGCTTTGTCTTCACCTCTCTGAGCTAATGCAGCATTCCCTTCTGGTCTGTGGGCTTTGTAAAGATGGAGTCCCTTAAAAAAACCTAAAATGACAATTTTGCTAGCTCATCTTTGCTTTTCTTGGCTTGCTCTTGTTGCAGCTTGGAGTGGGTCACTGCTCAGGTGAATTTTAAACCCTGAAGGTGAAGATTATTATGAGCAAACTAACCTACCTCTGCAGAGCTGAATGGCCTTTCTGGGGTGTTAAGTGTTCTTATTTGATAAATGTTCTTGTTTCTGAGAAGGTGGGTGTTGATTTGGAGTAAGTTCAAACTTGGGGGAAACTGGTCAAGTGATGAAGTGAAGAAGCTCTGAGCAGGCCTGTGTTTGGATTGGGGTAAAGGAGGGTCCTGGCTTTGTTTTCCCTGTACTACTTTGGCTCCTTGCAGCACTACTTAAATGAGGAGGCAAAAAGTAATAGTTTATTAATGCACTGGGAAGTAAAACTCTCAGAAGGATGTCAGTCACCGTGATGACTTTATAATTACAAATCCATCTACTAGAGAAGCATCATATGGAAGCTTTCTGGCTGGTTTGTTTTTTGGGTTTTTTTTTCCAGATCAGCCCATAAGCTTACTGATGAAATTGCTGCAGCTCAGGTGGCTCTTGGGACATGTACTGTGCGGTGTCTGTGTGTTAGGGGTGTAGGAGGAGTTTTTATTCATGTGCTGCAGCTTCATTAAGAAATCCATCTGAAATGACATTAGGTGTCCCTTCTTCCCTTGGGGTTTGTGCACAGCTGTGGCAGGCTGCATGCTGAAAGGATTGTGGGGTGATGTCTAAAACTGTGAGTGCCTTCAACGGGGAGATTCCCCTCTGCCAGGCCAGTGGTTAGAGGTGTAGCTACCTGGGGAAGCTTGCTGCTAGAATTATACTGCTACAATTTGGACTCAGCAACTCCACACTGCAGCTTGTACAGTTATTCCAGTTAATTCTATGCTGGGAGTGAGGTAGGGGCTGGTGGGGGCTGCCAGGAGCCCTTGAGATCTGACACACACACCCCCACACACACCCCGTTAGCTGTGCTCCTGGCTGTGGTGACACTGTGGTGTCCTGCAAGACCATGGTAAAACTTGCTGCAGGTGATTCCCTGGAAAACAGCATGTGCAAAATGCTCTTGTTCCTGCTCTAAATTCTGTGGATATGAGGACACTTGGAAGAAAAAGAGCTAATGGAAAGAAAAATGCCCAAGCCAGAAGTACAGATGCAGTCAGAATTAAGGCCACTATGTGAAATCCTCCTCTCTTGCTTTAAAATTTAATTTCTGTCTTGCAAAGGAAGATTTGCGAGGCCTTTTAAATTCATAAGGCTTTAAACTGTAAAAATTGATGTTGCTCGGGGAAGAGATTAATGATTTGCAGCAGCCCTGCTGGGTTCTGATGAAATAATCAGCTGGGAAGCAACACAGGTTTAACCTTCCCGCTTTCCTAGTTCAGACTGTAACATTTAAAATTTGACCTGCAAAGCCATAGAGTCCTGTGGGTGGGTTTCTGTGTTGGTGATGTGATTGCCTCCAAAACAAAACACCTCCAAATAATACAAGTCAAAATTAACGTTGCCCCGTTGATATTGATACGAGCTGTCGTGGCTAGAACCCCGTGCTGGGTGCAGGAGGTGATAATGGTGTGGTGGTTTTCAGCTTGGGTCCACGGCCATTGGGATCCAGACCTCGGAGGGTGTCTGCTTGGCCGTGGAGAAGAGGATCACCTCCCCGCTCATGGAACCCAGCAGCATTGAGAAGATTGTAGAAATAGATTCCCACATAGGTAAGGAGAAAGAAGCAAGCTTTGGTAGAGTTCTGGGAGCATCCCTCAAGTTTTGGAGGTATATTTTTTTTATATATATGTTTAAGACTCTGTTCCCTGGGAGTGTCAGAGTGGTGTTTGAGCTGGCCTACCCTGCAGGCAGGTCAGCCGAGCCGAGCGGGAATGCTCATCCCTCCCAGTGAACACCAGGTCCTGGCCACTGGTTTTCCAGGCTCTAGGCCAGCAGGACATAGTTACAAGAGCAGGAAGAGGCAGCTGAAGCACACCCCCCCCCGCCTCAATGACCTCCCTTATGAAGGCTCATCCCAAATTTAGATCTGGGAGGGCAGGGAATTACTGCAAAAGGCTTGACTCAAGGCCAGGTTCTCTTGGAGCACTAAGGTTAGCCTGTGCCCCTGCTCGCAGCAACCTCCTGGCTGTGAGGGGGCCGTGACAGGCTCATTACCAAATATGCCGCCTTGAAAATCAGGAGACCTCCAAAATACCCGTGTTGCTGATGACATGGGTCATGGAAGGAGCTCTTGAAGAGTCTGATTTCTTCTTCCCGTGTGCTTGTGATACAGCCCCTCTCTTCCTGGAGCAGGATCTGTGCGGGAGGCTCCTGCTGCATCTTCCCCCAGCTATGGGTTGGCCAGCTCTCCCCACGGCGGGGGATGAATGAGTTCCCCTTCCAAGCAGGTTCTGTTTCTCTTGGTTAGCTTCTCTTGGAAGGCCTCAAATGTGGCTCCTTTAACCGGTTTAGACGTGGGGTGGGTAGGAGATGTGAGTGGGAGAACTCAGTTATGTACCTGCCCTTCAGCTGCGTGTCCATTCTTGTTCTTGAGCAAATCCATTTGGATCTTGTCCCCTGTCCTCTCCAGCACGCTGTGGCATGGCGTTGCTGTGTGCTTCCATGCAGAGACCCACTCTGCCCTGCAATGGGCTTTGGGAAGTCTGGGGGGGATCGGTGAAATCACAGAATCATTCAGGCTGGAAAAGCCCCTCGGGATCATCGAGTCCAACTCTCAGCCCAGGTCTACAAAGTTCTCCCCTACCCCACATCCCCCCACAGCTCATCCAAACGGCCCTTAGACCCCCCCAGGGATGGGAACTCCCCCCTCCCCGGGCAGCCTGTTCCACTCTCTGACCACTCTTGCTGGGAAACATTTTTTTTCTCCTCATGTCCAGTCTGAACCTCCCCTGTTGGAGTTGTGTGAAATGACTTGTGGTTTCCCTTTCTGATTCTAGGGTGTGCCATGAGTGGCTTAATAGCTGATGCAAAGACTTTAATTGATAAAGCAAGAGTGGAGACTCAGGTAAGACTTGACGTTTTTCCTCTTAAAGCAGCAGCACTAGGCTCAGGGGCATCTTGAAAGCCTCTGGCATGGGAAGATCATTACAGAGAGGAGCTGGTGTGGAGTGGGAAGCTTGCAGAGCTTGTAGCTTTTGCAGAACAAACAGATGGAGTCTCCTGTATTTTTTTTCCTCTTTGGCATTGCACGTTTGGGAATCTTCTGGCAGGTTCTCCAGTGGTCTCTCAGCACTGGCAGATGTGCTCCAGTGAATCTGTGGGACCGTGTGTAACTCTGGACAAAAGACTGGTTATATTGGTTATATTTTTGACCCTTTAAATTTACTCAGTGCCTCAACTACTTGGAGATCCCAGGTACAAATCTCAGCGCTATAGTAAAGACTTTCCCTGTGAGGTGTTTTTCCTGCACGTCAGCACTCTTCCACCCTCTGGAGAACTGGGTAACCCCATTGCTTCAGAAACAGATCGTGGGATAAAGTGCTCTGGCCTTGCAGTTTCCTTCTTGTCATCCCACGGCCTAGGTATCCCAGAATTTCTGAGGGATCCCTGCACAAACTTCTTCCCAGCTTGTTCTGCACTTGCCACTCTCTTCCTGGTGCATCCCTCTGACAGCTGACCGGGCTGTGCCCTGGGTGCCAGCAGCCTGCTCAGAGGGGCCAGAGGGAAGTTGCCTTTGTGGCTACACAGGGCATTGCTCCAACCTGCCATGTGAACGTTCCAGGTTTGTCATATTTTTGGGAACAAGGTGATAATTCGATTTTTTTTTTTTTTCTTTTTCCTGCAGAATCACTGGTTCACCTACAATGAAACCATGACGGTGGAGAGCGTGACGCAGGCTGTGTCCAACCTGGCTCTGCAGTTTGGGGAGGAGGACGCAGACCCAGGGGCAATGGTGCGGAGCTGGGGGTGCTCTGGGGAGGTGCTTTTGGCTCCCCTCTGACTTTGCCCTCGGCCTTGCCTAACCTGTCGGCTCTCTTCTGTTGCAGTCTCGTCCGTTTGGAGTCGCGCTGCTTTTTGGAGGAGTGGATGAGAAGGGACCCCAGCTGTAAGTTCGGCTCTCCTTAATCCAGGCCAGCTCCAGGAAGAGACAAAACCTCTCCTGAAACTTCCTAGGACATCTTAAGCACTTGATTCTTGGATTTTACTTAAGCCAAACACTTGGAGTTTACCCCATTATGTACCTAATGTGTGTGTTAATGCTTTTAAACCCTTTCTTTCAAAGTAGGGGTTGTAGCGGCCTGAGCACTGGAGCTTGTTTAGGGTTGAAGAAAACACTGTGTTTTCACTGAATCCTTGTTTTTTTAATGTGGTTTTCTGAGCAGGAGGGAGGCGTTAAAGCTCTCCTCACCCTAAGTTTATTCTTACCTTTCCCTAAAGGACTAGCACAGCCACCGGTAACATAATATGTGGAGCCTGCTGTAACATTCCTTGGGGAGGTGGAGGAGTGCTTGTAACCTGAACTCGCGTGCTTCAAACACTCAGCCTCTGCTGGAGGTGCAGAGCCAGCCCAGTAAGATCTCCCCACAGGAGAAGTAGTGAAAACTTGCTGGTTTTATTACTAAAAAAAAAAATAGGGTGGGAAATAAAAAGGGAGATGATTCTGATCTGAGCAGGGAGTGTATAGCCCTCCTTGCTTGCCAGCCCACCACGGGTCTGCAGGTGGCTCTTGGGGTTGCTCCTCAGCCCTTGGTTGTCTCCACGTGCCAGGAGCGACCTGCAGCCACTGTGCTAGTTGTTGGTTCCCCCCAGTCACAGGGTGTAAAGGGGGAGGCTGGCTGCAGCGAGGGGCTGCTGTGAGCTCGGCCCCGCCTCGGCAGGCGAGCTGTCGCTCCTTGAGCAGCCCGTGTTCCTTCCCAGCGCCCAGCTGTGCGGGGAGCTCTGGTGGGGAAGCCCTTGGGGGTGCCACATTGTGAGACGGGAGCAGCAGCTGTTTGTGCTCTCGCCCGTGTTCCTGCAGGTTTCACATGGACCCGTCGGGGACGTTTGTTCAGTGTGATGCCAGAGCTATCGGCTCTGCCTCGGAAGGCGCACAGAGTTCTCTGCAAGAGGTTTACCATAAGGTAAATGGCTGGTTTGGGGTTGACATCTCATGAGTGAGAGGTATCTCATGACCCCTGTACCTTCTTAGCCCTCCACTCAGCACTGGTGAGGCTGCCCCTCGATGAGTGGGTTTGGTTTTGGGCCCCTCACCCCAAAAAGGCCATTGAATGACTCAAGTGTGTCCAGAGAAGGGCAACGGAGCTGGGGCAGGGTCTGGAACACAGGTCTGCTGGGGAGGGACTGGGGGAACTGGGGGGGTTCAGTCTGGAGAAGAGGAGGCTGAGGGGAGACCTCCTGGCCCTCTGCAACTCCCTGCCAGGAGGGGGCAGAGAGGGGGGCTGAGTCTCTGGAGCCAAGGAGCCAGCGCCAGGCCCCGAGGGAATGGCCTCAAGCTGCCCAGGGCAGGGTCAGGCTGGCTCTGAGGAAGGATTTCTGTGCAGAAGGGGCTGTTGGGCGTTGGAATGGGCTGCCCAGGGCAGGGGGGAGTCCCCGGGATCCCTGGAGGGGTTGAAGAGTCGGGCTGAGCCAGCGCTGAGGGATCTGGGGGAGTTGGGAACGGTCAGGGTGAGGGTCATGGTTGGGCTGGAGGAGCTTCAAGGGCTTTTCCAACCTCGACGATTCTGTGATTGTGACCTACAAGGATCTGCTAGTTTCCTTCCCGATGAGTGATTTATAACTTGCGCTGTAGAGGAGGTCCGTGAGTTTGTCAGGGTGGGACTCAGTCCTTGGCACT